GAGTAAAACAAGGTGCAAAAGTTGGAGGCCATAGCTCTTAGGTTAGAGGCCATCGAAAGCAGGTTGACAGGCCATCGCTAGTAGGTTGGAGACAAGAAACCACAAGACAGCAAAGCGGTCAAAGTTGGAGGTCTTCGCACTTAGGTTGGAGGCCGTCGAAGGCAGGTTGAGGGGCCATCGCTAGTAGGTTGGAGACATGAAACCACAAGACAGCAAAGCGGTCAAAGCTGGAGGTCTTCGCTCTTAGGTTAGAGGCCGTCGAAGGCAGGTTGGGGGCCATCGCTAGTAGGTGACAAGAAACACAAGACAAACAAGACATCAAACCAGCAAAACAGCAAAAGTTGGGGGTCCATTCTAGTGGGTGGAGGCCAAAGTTCAAGTTAAAGAACCCCTTACAAAGTTTGGAGGCCTACCTGCAACCTATAGGGTAGCCTTAGAGGAAAACAGAAGGAAAGGCACCGACACACAAGTGTGTCGAGTACCATTTCCTCCTGTTTTCCTAAATAGGGGAACAGGTACGGAAGTTTGCGTCCAAACTTCCATCCAGTCGATTTCCATAGCTTCATTGGCGTGACTCGGAAATCGACCGTCACGCCCCCTGTTCCAAACCTTAAGGTTCCCTCTGATTCCAAGGGTTACACACACACACCAGAGCCGCCAAAAATAATGAATTTGAACAAGACTTTGTTCTTGCAATGGGCGGTGTCCAAACCTTGTAGCCACAGGGCCATTGCCCCGTTTGACCCATACAAACACGCTTGGTCGCACGACAAACGAGAGGAACGTCACGACTAGTGACTAGGGGTTTGGTTTACACCTTGTTCATGACACCCATCCAAGAACAGTTTTTATTGGAGCCGTCGATTTTGTGGTAGGGTATTAAATGATACTAAATGGTGTTATGGGTAGATCCCCTGTGCTGCGGCCATGAGAGGGGGCCTAGGGGTGTGGCAACATAACAATGTCATTCTTCTAGACTGCTGTGGGGGGCCTCTACAGTAGTTGCAGGATGTTGCAGGTATATTGTCTTCTTGTGCTTGCATTTGTGCATGGCGGAAAGCTTGAACGGCGGCCCGATCCTTTGTTTCAGGATCCCTCGTCCATCTTTGTCTCTCATCGAATCAGACTTAGAGGAGCTCTATGCTGCAGCCAGGGCACCACATTTCAGGACGTTTGCACGTACATGTTGCAACAGTGTTTGCTTTGATGGGACCACGCACGCACATCAGTTCCGCCACCGGACCAGGCCATTCAATTGCACAGGACTTGTCCAATCATGACCCTCTCTTGGCCAGAGCAAGCCGCAGGACTCGCAATCGTCCGGGAAGTTCACAAATCAAAGAGGCAGCGGGCAGCATTTGGCGAACAGAGTCGATCCTGAGATGACCGGTTGTACAAAACAGAGACCTACACTCCCGGAACTAACATGGAAGTGGAGAATGACCCCTTAGAAGACCATTTTCCACTACAAACAGGTGGTTTTCCACTTCCATGTTAGTTCCAGGGAGACTAACTGTCTTCAATTTTGAGTTTCTGAGAAGGTGGAGACATGCGGGGAGCCGGAGGACCGTTTGCGTCGCGTGGAGCCAGCATTTTCAAGGCCAGTCGCAAGTGAACTGTTGATGCAAGTTTTGGGTGTGATCTCCTGCTTCCCGTCACCCCAATTCGGGGAGGTGCACTATGGCACCGAGGTTTTGTCAACCTTTTTTCAGCCTTTGTGATCTGGCGAGGCCCAGCAACCAGGGCAGAGATTGTTCAAGCAGGACTTCTTTGCGGTGCCCGTGCTGTTTTCAGCCGGCACCAGTACGCAGGCAGAATGCTGCAGCACCTGCCCTGTTCATCCCAATTGCAAGTAAATGTGAGCTATGGTGGCACCAGGAGAGTTACTTACTACTTTGTCGTTTTTGTCGCTTCCTTTTGCATGGTACTGTAGCGCATGCGTCATCGAGTGACTGAACAGCTAGCGCGGGTCAATTTCTAAAGCTATTGCAATCTTTTATGCCAGAAAGTCTGGTCCTGGTGCACGAGCTGAGATGCTTGCACAGGAGTGCCCATACAATGTATAGCATTCTGCAGCAGAGCGTAGCTTGGGAGTTTTGGGTCATTGAATGAGTGTGAACCGATGACATTTGGGCGCTAGGACAGCTGCGCCTCTCCTGCAGAACCAAGTCACCCGCGCTCTGGGAGAAGGAGTGAGTCATGACAGCTCATTCATTCACAACAGTTTGCTCATCTTTCATTATGCCCCAGCTATAGATTCTATTATGCATTTGTATTTGTTATTTTGCCTTGCTTGATTGTTTGCTGGCTGGCCGCTCCCCTGCTTGCTGGCTGGCTGGCTGGCTTGCTGGCTTTCTGGCTTGCTGGCTGGCTGGCTTGTTGGATGGCTGGCTGGCTTGCTGGCTGGCCGGCTGGCTGGCTGGCTTGCTTGCTTGCTGTTGTTTATGTTTGATGAGTTTCTAGACACAGACATCCTCCAACGGATTGTTGACAAAAGCAGGCACAACAAGTGCAGCCATGCTCACAAGACTTGCACCCCAGCTAATGATAGCAGCTAATGTGAAGATGTGAAGGTGTTGTAAAGATGTTGCGAATTGCTTTAATCAGCTGGTCTAAATGGCAAGCCGGATTTTCCTCTGCTCTACGTTGAGGCTTACAGCACAGCCGAATGTGCAGAACCAGATGCAGCATACAGAGATGTGTGCGCAGGACAGGGGTTGAAACGGTTGAATGTCCGCCAAAGCAGTTGTGCCACGCTATGGACAACAAATCAATGCTATGTCAAAAACATGCAAATCGTCTTTCTATCAATGGCCACCGGCTTCGTTTGCTTCTCGATCTTGTTTCTTGTTCTTCTTAGGTGCAGGAGTGGGTTGCCAAGACTCATGTTTCCATCCTTGCCCCCTGCCAGGAGAAGCTGGAGAACTTTCGGATGGGGGCCTTCGGGCAGATGCCAAATCGTGACAGAGCTTGCAGCCAATTGGCGGCTGAAGCCTCCTCGCAGACTGCGCGGAGTTCCTTGGCCGAACCTTTGCCCGTCTGATGTTTGCAGGCAAATTGGATCAAATTGGAATTCTTGTGCACCAGGCAAATGTAAACAAACGAGTAGAGCTATGTACTTCTGAGGCAAAACAAGACAAACAGAAGTCGTGATGCCAAAGTGGGAGGAGGCCACCACAGTTGCCCTTTTCTACTCAAGAGATGCAGCTTTTCTACGGTGCATATCATCAAGTCAGGACTCAGGACAAGTAAATATACAGTATACAGTATTATATATTGTTATATATATATGTATATATGTGTGTGTGTGCTGTTTTGTTTAGACTGATGCGCATAACATGCAAAATTATGCAAGCATATCTACGTTTGCAGGCAGATGTTTTCGCAGAGCCTGGGCTGGAGCTGCAGCAGTTGGCGCAAAAGAGGCGGTCGATGACAAAGGCGCTGAGAAAAAGACTGACGCTTGGTCTATAGACTGACTGCTATAGCCGTTTGAACTGTAAACCCTTCAGTTCCAACGGCACTGGACATGTTCATTGCTTTTGGCCCCGGTGTTATGTTCAGGCACGTCGAACACACATTTTGTCCTGCAGGACATGTCAATTTCAACGTGTCAGTGTCAATTTCAAATATATAGAGAGAACAGTAGATCCCCACTTAAAATGCATTGGAAACTGTTTCTATTTATTTGGGAACCACTGTATATGTATATGCAATATACATGCATTTCGTTTGGCAGGCTGTGAAAAGACAGACGGCTAACACTTGGGGTTCTCCCTCCCTCTCTATAAATATAGAGCCCGTTACTGTATGTCGTTTGGTTTGTCGTGGTCGATGCATTGTTTTTCTAAGCGCCTGCCACCCACAAAGGACTACCATTTGCATTTCTTATCATTTCTTTTCACCTTTGTTTTACATCTGCAATCGCTTGTGCTAGATGTAGCATGACGGTTGTTACACGACCGGTAGGGTGGGTGGGCAGCATTATCGGAACCGTTTGTCATGTAAGTGTCCCAAAGGTTCAATCGACGTCCATTGATTTGTTGCTCCAAGGCAGCACATGGAGAAACACTGCGGCATACTCTCGGAGGACTATCAGCGCTTGGCGGGTTTGGATACAGAGTGACTGGGTGAAGAGTCGTGCGTCCGCTTTGGGGGCATGAGAAGGATGATCCATGCATAGGTTGAAATGAGTCGCGCCATCTAGCGTGCAGGTTTCAACACATGGTAAGCAATCGGAGGTGTGTACGTGTGTGTATATATATATATCTATAGATAGATGTTATAAATACACAATATGTTTTTAATTGTATTCTTGTTCCCCAATTAGCCTGGACAGAAACATGAGCAGCGGAGATGGTATTTTCGACATGTTACAGTTCTCGGCGCATATGACTCGAGTCTTCGGATATGTAGCAAGAAGCTACCAGGTTGGAGGCCATCGCTACTAGTAGCAAGAAGCGACTAGTAGCTCCTGGCCATACTACTAGTAGCAAGAAGCTACTAGTACCAGCTCCTTACTTGGATTTGCCAAGGCTCTACAGAGTTGTGGCAAATTTGCGGCATGCGTTTGCCAGAGAGCAAGAGGTGCAGAGGGAGATATCCTCACTAGTTGCGTGTGCGGATTTTACATGTTTTACCCTTTTGCAGCCAACAACTGCACTCTGACCAGCCCCATTTATCACTGTCATTGGGGTACGGTCCCTGACAAGGACATGCTGGCTGCAATGGGCTCGCTAAGCACTCTGCACGGTTGTAAGGGTATGTAGGTAAGGGGACTTCATTTCCTTACTGATCTCTCACCGTCTCCAACCCTTTCAATGTTCCCCCCTTCGATTCAACGGCGCGTTGCTGACTGTCGCAATACGCGCTCCGCCAGGCCTTGGCTGACAGGCGCCACAGTGCAGGGCCTGAACTGTGCAGGTTCTTGGCATATTTTTGCGGGTGCTTTTTTGCACACACACACATCCCTTTTCTGTTCCACTTGGACATCCTTGCCGCAAGCCTCGCCTTAGACTTTTCGGTGGCAAGTCCAAGGTCTCGCACAGATTTCACAAAGGGCTCCAATTGAAGATGCTCCCTGAAGATTCATGGTGGCCGTATAGCTGAGCAACAGACCTTCACACAGGTGTCCCGGCCTTCAATCCACTACGGTAGGACCTGCTGCACCCTGTAGCACTTGGGTCCCTGCTACGCTACATGGCCATTCGAGCATTAATGCTTTGCTTGCCGCATTCAGCTGGGTGTGAAGAGCGCGCCTGGAAGCGTCGGCAAAATATGCCTGGCAAAGGCATTTTATATTGGACATGGACAAAGGCATTTGAATGCGAGGCCTTGTCCTAGTGTGAACAGCCAAAGAAGCCCAGACCAAGAAAAAGGTTATTCTAGATGCACTTGCTTTGGCGCCTGGGCCGGCCCCCTTTGCACAGCATTTTTTTGTTGGGATTATTTGAGTACAATTCATTCAGCACACAACGTGAATCGACATTGACCACCTGCTATGGAAAGTGTGAAGTGTGGGTAGAGTGCGAAAGGTGCTCCAGCACCATAAATAATCATAAGGCTGCCTCAATCTGTTTCCATAGCAGCAATCAAGCATCAGCATGACTCCCAAAGTAATGACACAGGAAACTGTTCAGAGTGGAGATGTTGTCAAGGTTTGTTTGGGTTGAATTGGCTGCTCAGGAATTCATTTTGTTTCCACAGCTTGTGGACCTGCGAGAGCTCTGGGGCTTGGGGAGAAACTGCAACTAATAGGACTCTATCTAGTGTACAGAGAGGTCCAAGTAGACATGTATCCAAAGGAACTTCGACTTTACAATAAGGCTAGCTCCTATATAAGTGGGTTTCAAATTGAAGCCTGACATCACCTTTGACCTAGTCACAACTTCACAACATCCAATTTGTTTGTAATTTTCAGCGTTGCCTTCTAGACTGAGTCTGTGAAAGTGGCAGATGCCCTCGCAGAACCGATTGTGGCCCTGGTCTCGTGCAAGCCGTGCACCAGCTCCCAGCCAGTTGGTGGAGGAGTTTGCACATTGAAATGCTACTGCCCGCGGCAGCAGAGCAAATAGTTGTAGCTGTAGCATTTTGTAGCTCAATAGCTCATCCTGACTACAATAGCGCAACCGACAAGGAAAACAACATCGACAACCTGCTGGTGGAAGGCCAGTGTCCAGTTTGTTCATTTTCTTGGGCCCATCAAGCGCCATTGACGCGGGGTCGCCAAGTGGACTGTCAGAGATGTTAGGGAAACGGACCACTCACAGCACAGCACGGACCACACAGCAGATGGATTTTTGCGCTTCAGGTCTTTGTGTTTTCAGGTCTTTGCCACGCTTACTTCGCTGGCTTTGATGGGCTCAAGTTGGGGTGCCGGCTCTCCGGTGGGAGCAGGCTCATCAGTCTCAATGTCACATTGCTGAGGGCTTCAAACGATCAAATATGTTGTGGAGGAAAGGCCGCGGCCAGTGATTGTTTGGAAGAGCTTTAGAGTCCGGAGGGTGTGCTTGGGATTGGAATTGTCCCTGTGGAACGACTACCAAAGTGTGAGTGGTGAATGGATGTTTTCATTTAAAGGCCTCCTCCGGAATGGCCAGTGGTCGGACGCTTACTGGGGCTCCGTGCTACATGAGAAATCGAGAAACCACCAGAAGAGTGTTTGCTTGGCTTCCTAGCCCATAGCCAAGCATGGCAATGGCACGAACAGCTCAAACGCTTTCATAAAACAGCGAGGTGCGGTGTTTTTGCATTCCCGACAAATGCCATAAGTGCAGTTCACGTTGGATGTCTGCAAGGCGGAGGTGAGTCTGCAACTCAGGTTCGGAGGGATTGCGATCCGTTCACTCCAACGTTGTGCCTTCCACAGTCAAGTGTGGAAGCCATTACCATTCAAAATCGCGCCGCCAGGACACCAATGCCAAAGAGACTCTAGAAGCAGCAAATGAGGATTTGTTCTACATTCTACATGTGGGATATGTGTGTGTGTGTGTTCTGTATTTGTCTAAATTCACTTTCCCCTTAAGTGTGTTCTTCTCGGTTTGGCTGATTCATGAACTGGAGTTGTTTTTTCTATTTTGGATCACTCTCAGCTGGAGGACTCAAAGAAAGATCCAGGCTTGCTTAGAGATCCAGCGCTGCTGTGAAGGGTTGCCTCACTGGGTAGCCTTCATCACCTGTTGGGCGCCCTTGCCGCCCGTCCAGTGTTCAGAAGGGACAGAAAGTTTGGACAATGGCCACATGTCTCCCGCACAGCGCAGTATCACCATCCGTTGTTCGTTTATTTTCGGCGCCCACAAGAGAGTTTGACTACACCGATGAAGGCATGCTCTTATCCCTTCAGAAAATTCACGACTGCTCTCATGATGGGTGTGGAGTGAAAACACCTTCTCTCATGTTGAATGTTTGTGCCAGGTCCTAGGAAGAAGATCATGTCAGGCCAAGTCCTCACGGGCCAGGCGCGTGACTCCTGTCGCTGCTCTGGTTTCTGGCCCCATCTCCTAGGATCAAGCATGAAAAGGGTGTTTAGGGTCATCCCGCAGAGAAATGACAATGAGGATCCAAATGATTTGACAGGAAACTCTAGATCCTTTTAGGCAACAGGATGCAACAGGGGACAGTTCGGGAGACAGTTGTGCAGAGTTGCCATCATGCTGTGTGGATTTGAGCCATATGTGGATCTACCACCCGTGCGAGGTGGTAGATTGGAAGGCTGGGCTTGTGCGATGAAGATGTTGGAACGAGCTAAAACAATTTCATGACACAGGCACACACGAAACTAATGCAATGTCAATGTCTAGGAGCATGTGGAATATCTTGAAATCCAATTGGTTTGCCTTCGGCATTTGTTTTGTTTACGACCCACATGTGGTGTGTGTGTGGGCACGCCGTTTGAATACCAAGGGTCGATCTTAGGGAAACTCCAAAGGCCAAACTACAAACTGTTGCGTCTTTGCTCCTAGTAGCGAGCTTCTTGTTGCAAATATGGAAACGATTCTGTTGTGCTGCATGGAGGCACCCTGTAAATAATGTAATACGTTTTTGTTTCAATTGATGATAGCTTTTGCATACCGACCCGGCTTCCTTCGTCGTCTCGGTGGCTTATCAGAATTGCTCAACTTGGTGAGATTGTGCAAACGTCATGCACTATTTTCCGCCTTTGCTCAAGGTGGATCCATGGGGCTTTTTGCTATAGTAGCGTCCGATCGCTCCGTTCGTAGCAATGCCCTTGGTTACTAGTAACTTCTTGCTCCTAGTAGTAATGCCAGGAGCTACTAGTAGCGTCCTTGCTCCTAGTAGAATGTTCGGTTTTGTTTTCGGTTGATTCTGCTGCTGTTACGATTTGTCAGCATTGACCTGTGACAGAAGACTCTTCGAGGTCATACAACAGGATTTAACTTTGTTGTTCTTCCGCGTGCCCCCCTGGAAATCAAACATGTTGCGCAGGAAAAAGAACGCCTTAAAGTCTGTATGAAGCCTCCATCAAACCAGTTGCATCAGCATAACCCAAAACATATCATTATATATACTGTATATATATATATAACAAACGGAATATTGGACTGCTCACTGAAAGTCGTGTCATCCGACGTGAGGGATGGTTCTCTCCTCAAGTGACTTGAACTGGCTTTTGATCATGATCCTCCTTTTGCCTCTCCTCTCATGGCCTTTTTCATGTTTTTCTTTGGCCATCCCAACTAATTTAACTATGTCTAGCTGGCATCAGTTGAATATTTGATGATATTTGCGTAAGAACTGCTGAGTTCCTCACAGCAAGTGTGCTAAGAACCAGGTGGATGGCTCTCAAAAACGGATCATTGTAGCTACCACTAGTCAGGGGTCGGGTGGTTCTTGGTTGAAAGCGCAGGGCAAATATGGTTGGATTCAACCAGCCGAGCTGATCCGGCATGAGAAGGTGGGCGTTGGTCTGAGGACGAGAGAGAGACGAAGCAAAGTGGTCAGACCGGGTTGGTGACTTCTGGAGGCACGTATGCGCCAGGGACGAATCTTTGTGAGCCCAGTTCTCAGAGTTTGCTTTAGGCCTCAGGCCGCCTCAGGCCTTTGTGAAACGTGATAGGTTTGCCTTGATTCTGCGCTCCCGAAGATCCAAAACTCTCGAAATTCCGCGAGTCATTGGCACTAAAGCCAATCCTTTCTAAGGCAGGACAGATTTGGTATTTGCCTCAAGTGTCAGGGTCTGGAGAAGCAAACCAGGCAATGCCGATAAATGATATCCGATGATCTTTACTCGTACTTGTACGAGGATGTATGAGGTATTTTGATAACCAAGCCAGCTCATGACAAATGCATACTAGTCATGATTCAATACTCTCAGACTCACGGCTTGCTTGTTCCGACATTCCCTGGATGATTACGAGGCCCTTGATGTGTTGAAGCGGTAGCAGCTTGGGACACTTCAGCATTCAGCTCATGACCACATTGGCGAGACAATTGAACACGACCCAAGCAAGCTGCAACAGCACCTTGTTATATTGTACCAGGATCCCTGCCAGGATGCTAACATAGTGAGATCGACTAGTAGATCAACTATAATCAACATGTCACCTGATATAGGCGGATTATGAAGGCATTGGACCAGCTTGCCCACTGGGCGCATTGCTGGAATTATTTGAGCAGCCCTCCCTGCCGCTGCGCATGGCTGCGCAATGGCAGCAGCAAGACTTTTCCAGCAGTAGGAGCCTTATTGACGAGACATTTAATCCCTCGGGATTCTTGCTGCAATCCTGTAACTCCGGACATACATGTCAAAAGCATGGTGCCATGTGAAACCATTCGGCCAAGGTTGGAACCTCATGTGCTTCATGCTCTTTTGCAGCACGTCCTGCTTGTAATGGGGGGGGATTGAGGAAGACAAGAGCCTTGTGATCACCCGAGTGAGTTAATGTTCCAGCCGAGGTGCCCAAAACTCCAAGTGCTTTCAAGCTGGAGGAGATCGTGCGCTTCTCAAGTATTCTTTTTGAACGGATATCCCCACACGGGCGGCAAGTCAGAAACACTAAGTTATATAATATATAGTATTTGGTATGTCTATCTATTTTTATGGGTCGGAGTCCTGGTCCATCACTCCCAAAGCAACATTTTCACTGTCGTGAAGTCAGGGATTCTTTCGCTTCTTTCGAGTCCTACACCCCGCCGAAGACCGAAAAGCCGCCCGAGCCACGCAGCAAATACGAAGTGCCGCCAGAGGACGATGCTCCGTGCCGATCGTCGATTCCGACCGAGCCTCCATAGAGGCTCCGCCTCGAACTAGCGATGGCCTCCAACCTACAACATGATAAGTAACATGATACAACAGTTGGTTGATTGCGAAGGAAGTGCCGACACAAGAAGGCCAGACTGGTTGGTCTGCGTATGCTGTTCATACATGTGAAATTTCCAGAGGCACGATCACCAACGGCTTGTTTGATATTTTTGTGCCAACTGGGGCATAGGCCAGTGCAATTAAACGTATTTGCAGTTGTTTGGGGGTTGCGTTTTGTGACATCGCTTCGTCAACAGGGTTCCCACTGTGGGGCTCATTCTGCATTCCTGTCACAGACACAGATTTTGCTAGGTGTCGTGTTCACTTGGCACTGGCAAGTAGGCTGAATAGACCGAGTATGTACAGTAGACCTTTTGATGACTCGGACTTTCTGCTTGATGCTTTTGCTTCGCAGGATTGGGTACCTCCAGATACCTTCCCAGAGAATCGCTTTCCCAATGGGCAGCTTAAGCACTTTGGCTTTTTGCGATTTGCCCACCTGACCTAAGTCCTCTCATTTTGAGACAGAGCAGTCCCATTGCCATTCCACGTGCATCCAGGTGGCTCAATTACAAAGTCCCGAGACATTTCCAGGAACCATCAGGAATCCATAGCCTTGAAATTGACTTTTCTGAGGTTAACGGTTAAGTTGACTTTTAAAGCGATCGACGACAATCATACCCTTCTTTCACTGTCGTTCGGATATTCTTGGCCTTCGGCTGAGGCCACACGGTCGGGAACTTGGTGACCAAGGCCTTGCCTGCTCAGACGGTCGGCACAGACTGATCCGCTGGAAGTCCACTGAGGTCAAAAGATGAAATGTGACAAAGGCATTGACTTTGCGCAGACCTGCCCCATTGGCTGGACCTATGTCTCATGTCACAAAAAAAAGCATAGCGCTTTTCTGACAGGACAATGCCTCCAAAGGCCCTTTCTCCAAATGAGAATTATGAGTTCTGAGGTGTTTTCCACATTTCTTTTTGTCATTAGAAATCCCACCGGTGCTTGGTGTCATAAATTTATGAGTCTATGAGTCCCGCTTGCTCTGCCATGAGCTCAGGTGCCTAAAGGATTGAATGGTCCAGAGTGTAAGGCCCCGCCAAATTTTTATACAGAAACATGGCGACATCAGAAGTTTTGTTGCATGCAAGCGTCAATGAGTCAATGAGTGCTTTTCTGTGGAAGTCAACGCTTGGAGCCCGCTTCATGGTGACGTCTAGCATGAAGAAAAGAGTTGTAAGACATTTGTTCATGATAGGTATGTGATGCTTTGTAGGTAGTTGGAGTAGTTTGTGACACTTGAGCTTGATGGACCATCACCAGTTTTGTGGGCCATCTCAGGAGACCAATTGGTGCCGACAGCAGCTTACGCAGCGACAAGCTATCCCCGCATCCATAGATGAGCGATCAGGGAATGAATCAAGAAGTGAACCGGTTCAGCAAGCACTTGAACATCTTGAGCTCTCAGAACACAATTGTTTAAGCAAGTTTGTCCTTGTGTAGGGCGGCACTGCTGCAGCCATGCAGCATGATGCATTCTTGACAGTGTCAGTCAATGTGTGATTAGTCCAGCAGGTTTTGGCTTGCTGAGATTTGATGTGCCAATGTCTTTTACTCAATAGATCTCAATAGACTCAAACCTGCGTGATTTGTTGTACATCATTGAAGACTGCGGAACACCTTCCCAACGGTCTCCCGTGAGGAGTGGAGGAAGAAGGAACTCTATGATGCATGTTGCTTGGATGCTGTGGACAAATGACGTTGGTACTCGAACCTGGTCGAGTGCACGACCATGGCGCCATGACAGCATAATTACACAGATGTTGTCAGGCTGGTTGCTGTGGCCCTGCCGTGATTTGAAGCACAACTACCGAAGGCCGTGCCCACAGGGTTGGACTTGGGAGCATCTTGGCACAGAAAAACGGCATCTAAGGCCAAACCGAACTGTTGTCACCAAAGCCAGAGCCAATCTTTAAGCAGCGCAACTGGGATGCAAGCGACTTACGGTCTCTCCGCGGCGCTGGCTCAGACTTGTCCGGACTCTTCGTCCGTGCTGCCAGTCGTTTCACACGTTACTTCGCGGCAAAAGCCCGCGAGAGATGTTGCAGCTGCAGGATGCGCTGCAATTTGGAACCGTTGGGAGCATTGCTACGATGATATTGTACTACTACACGGAGAGGCCACAGAAAGGGCAGAAGAAAGCATGCAAAGTCTAGGAAAAAAGGCTGCTTTGCGTTGAAAACAACCTTTGCATTGTGAGATCTTGAGGTAGTTGTGCTCAGTCATTTCATGTTAATGTCATTTGATTACTTGTCCCATCTCAATAGATTTAGGCTTTTGTTTATAGCAACGCTTGCCTCTTCAGGGTGCTAACTTCGAAAGAGTGGCTGCCGGGCTTTGCAAGAACATTGTCCAGCTGGAAAGTGCCGTCCAAGGTCACGGAGAGACCTGACGTCGTTGCACGTGGCTCAGCGGCATGTCGTGCATCATTGGGATGCTAAAGTTTCGAGGTGTCCAAAGATGATGCAGTCGGCAAAGATGACTGAGCGACCGCGACCGGAAACAACATAGCAAATTGGAATAACCTGGGTACATTAGCAGCAGATCCAGTTAGAAACATTATTCTTCCGCGATGTGCAGTGTGTTTGCGAGGGGTGCTCATTGCGGAAGAGCAAGACTCATGTCACTCATGTCACTCATGTCGGACAGTCAGGGCCTCACGGTCGGTGTGGTATATAAGATACGATGTCCAGACCAGACTCCACTATGACTCCATGACATCTTGGCCTGTAATACGAATATAACTACATACAATTGATTAATGGTATGCGAGCTGGGAGTCTTGCACTCGGCGAGCTCCAAGGCATGCATCAAAAGAGAGAGATTTTTCTACAGGCAGGGAAACGCGGAAAAAGAACGCAGTCTTGCAATGTCTTGCAACAACGTTGTCTTGGTTTCCTGGCAAAGGAGATTGCGGCAGCATGGACTCCAATGATCGAATCCTTTTGGCTTCCGTACTTTCTGTTAGCCTCTTGGCGGCCCCCGGTCGAAGCAGTGCTAGAGAGAGGCCAAGAGTTTTGTTTGCTTTGATTGGGTGGGTCTTCGGATGCTGATTGGTTTCTGGTTGGGAACTGACTATTTTAGCATAAATACATGTCAGGCAAGGGCTGTCACTGTATTCCTCGTCCTCCTCTTCGCACGCGCAAAGGGCTAGTCAAGCTTCGGACCTGGTGCCAGTCCAGCGGGCACACAATCGACATGTTTATTGGTGGACCTGGTGCCAGTATAACATGCAGCACACATGAACAACAGATACTTATACTTAGAATTGCTTACACACATGTGAGCAAAAATGGCAGATGTGGTGCCAGGACATAGTATGACATAGGTGCTCAATAGCATGTCAGAACAGGTGCCAGAACATCTACAACTAGAACACATGTGAGAACAAAATGTCACAAAGCTATGCAAGACTTGATGCCAAACCATGCGTCAAAATAGATAAACATAACTGTTAGAATGCATGCCAGGACAGGTCCGAAGGCGTACCGGACTTGATGCCAATCATGTCAGAACAGGCCAGGACAAAGGAATGCGAAACATATGGCAGATTTAGATTTGATGCTAGAGACCAGTAGAGCATATGCAATAAAGGTCAAACCAGTTGCAAACAAACAACATTGATTTCAGACAACATGTCAAAACAGACGTCACAACTTGTGCCACGCGTATGCCAGAATAGATTTCCGGATTCCGAATGCTTGTTAGAACATATGGCAAGAACATACATCAGAGCAAATGCCACAGGACGACAAATACGTGAACAAATTCAAGTGCATCTAACAGTGCATATGTCGGCTCATGTGTCAGCCGTCAGCCACTATGCCAGGCCATTTGTCAGAATTGCCTATCATTCTTCCAATCACCTCTCATGGTGGAGACCGCTTGAAGCAAAGTAGTTTACCGTATTATAAAGTTTATCAGTGTCTGGGCTATGCCGCTGTGGTTTGCTTCGTGCTGGCACCCTGTGACATCCTTTTCGTTATTTGAAGGTATGGGGTCTTGACACCCCGCACATGCATTGCAGTTTCCACCTGAGGTGAACTACTATGCATTCGGTTGCCTTGATCAAGTGCCTTGTTTTCTCAGCGGGGCCATTGCTGTACCAGCTTTGCGACAGGTGGCAAAGCCGTATGGTGGTAAATTGACGCTTGGAGTTGGAAAATTGACGCGATGCGGGACGAATCCGGCATGGAGACAAATGAAGCACCCCTTCAAATGCATAGATTTTCAGACCCGATGGCACCCGGCCAGGCTCCATTGCATTTTTGTTGTGGTGAGAGGCCTACTGTACCTGCGGGTGTAGTTTGCACGTTGACATTTGTCAATTTGTCTAGATGTGTCGTTTTCATGGATAAAAGCCTTGAGTGCAAAAGCGCAAAAGCTGACACGAGAAGGTAGCCGCAGCGGGGTCGAATGTGGAGCTATCAGCACAGGTTGTGTGATTGGGGAATCATGTCCAAGGGGTGCAGAGACAAATCGGCAACCTGGAGCTGTTCATGGCAAAACTTTTGCCCGCTGAACATTTGGTCGTCAATGTTGAATGCGGATTGTTCGGCGAGTGTTCCCAAGGACCTCATCCATGATGCAGCGATGCACCTTTTCCCTTAGCCTAGCCATTCTTTTGAGCACGGCAGGGTTCCCACGGGAGCGCTTGGGATGTTATTGCTTACCTCGCTGGCTGCAAGTTTTGAGTTGCCCAACGGGGCGATAATATATTATACACATCTTGTAGTTTATAACTAACGATATAACTAACCTGCAACAACATCTTGCTAATTAATTGGATTGTCAGATGATTTTTCTGACTGGGACAGCTTCACGATGCACACCCGATGCAGGAGTTGATGCCCATCCTGTACGTGGCTCGCATAATGGTTGGCACCTTTGCGACCGATGTTTGCCAAGTAAACAGAACGATGCTTGGTTTTACTTCTTTCCCCGGCCGGTTGCTACCACCAGGCTTACCAATTCTTTGGGACTGAAAGTCTGGGCTTCTTGAAGACTTGCATAATCTCTTTGATGCCTTAGCAGCCTTAGCAGAAGCGTTTTGGAACAGCTAAGACGCCTGTATTGGAAGAAGGCTTTTAGCTTAAGTGATCTTAAGTGTTGGCACTTTGCCTCTTGTTTTTGGACTAGGAGGCCTTGGACTTTTTGGATGCTGGCGTAAGCAGTTGTAGTCGTCCTGGAGCAGAAGTGGGATGGGATGATCCTCCAAAAAGGAAAAAGGAACCAGTCCTATGACGTCCTACGATTTTACGCTTTGAGCTCTTGCTTTTTTGTCGTCCCTGGCACAAGTAGAAAGTTAGCAAGTACGGATCGGTCAGGTTTTGCTTCGCAGCTTTTGCTGTGGTCCCAAACCGCCTCAATCCTTGAGGAATGCTTTGCTTGCCCCAGCTTACGTGATTTCGAACTGGGTGCAGAAGGACAGCGGTTTTAGATCCGGTGCCTCGAAGTTTGTCCACATGACGCAGCGACCAAGGGAATCTATGGGGCCAGCTATGACTTGCCTTATTGTACTGCGCTTTAAAGTAGAACCTAGCTTTTGCAATCCTTCTTGTTCACAAGCAGTGCGTTTGCCTCCAACATGCAAGTGTTTGTAAAAGATACTGTATATTGTTCGACTTCATTGAAACAGCGTACCAGCCACAACGTTGCATTGAGCACTTGAACAACTGTATCCTGTTGCTGCGTTGTTCTGCCTTTAAAACTTTTTTTGATGCTTTTCTGCATGCAATGTCCAGGCACTGCAAAGATACCAGCGTAAAGTGCACATGGAGCACTCACATGCTAATTGGCGCGAGGCACCCCAATGCTGAACATGTCGGAAGCAATAGTTCAATAGTGGATGCTCGCAAGCCAAGACACAAAATTTATGCTGCATGTTCGGGCTTAAATCGAAGATGTGATGATGTTCAAAGTGCTGTACAAAAATCAGCACAACCCAAGCGTTGAAAGAACACGACGGCAAGAAGCTACTGAGTTGAATCCGTCACCCATGGATATATTTCATGTACACGCATTGGCATACACATCCTGCACATGTTACTGGCATGTCATATGTGCATACAGATTTTTGTTGGGGGGGCAGGGGACTGCTAAACGTGGGACATGCGTCGATCCGTTCCATCCGTTCCGTCTCCGCCCCAGGACGCCGGTGAGTCGATTCAATTGATCTTTATGATCATAGCAGAGGCGCCGAACACGCAAGTCCTAGCGTCGCTCCTAGCAGTAAGGCCAGGAGCCCTGTTCGTAGCGTCCTTGCTCCCAGGTCTTCTTTATTTCAATAATGGCATTGATCCTCTCCACCTTGTATGAGAAAGAGTACCAACTCGCTGCAGCCTCTTTGGAGCTCGAAGAGAAGGCCCTGTACAACACAAATCAGTTTATATACATGAATAGAATTAATCCGTTAACAACTTCCCGCGACAAGTGTCAGACAAAAAATCAGAATAGACATGATTCATCATGATTCTACTGTATGTGATTTTAGCCCGAGGCAAGGTGGGTGTTTGCCTTTTTTTCTTCAGCCTGAGGTGGAAGAAGTGAAGCAGGCGGAGCGGAGCGGCGTAGCGGCGCAACGACTGCTGGCTGTCACTTGTGATGCTTCTGCGCGGCTCACTGGAGACCTGAGGAGCGGATCTGAGTGTTCACATGTCAAATCCATAGGATTACATCGGAGCACGGTATGCACGAAATCCACACACACACACACATATATATATACATACACTACATATACACTTTATGTACTTTGATGCTACGGTGTTCTTGACGTAGGACAGACATACAGACACACAATGAAGGAGATCTACACTTAATTGTATTGTTGAAAAGGATCGA